ACTGACTGTTCTAGCTGTGTAGTAAATAATGGTTACGCCTCTGTCTTCTTTAAACTACAAAGAGGTGTTCGCCAAGGGTGCCCTCTTTCCGGCTCCCTATTTGTGCTGTGCGCTGAAATTCTTGCTAATGCAATAAGGTCTAATGCAAATATTCAAGGAATCAACATATATGGAAAGGAATTCAAAATTTCACAATACGCAGATGATACCACTGTTTTTGTTTCTGATATAAGATCTGCCCAAAACCTCTTCCATCTGCTCCACGCTTTTCAAAAATGCTCTGGTCTTGAAGTAAACAGAAGCAAGACAGAGGGCTTGTGGCTAGGCGCGAACAAAAACAACCCGGAAGAACCTCTTGATATTGCATGGCCAAAAGATCCTGTATTTGCACTTGGTATTCACTTCTCTTATGATGACGAAGCTGCTTTCAAAAAGAACTTTGAACAGAAACTGTCCTCGATGGCTTCCTTGCTAAACTTGTGGTACCCTAGGAACTTAACTTTACATGGTCGAATTGTCATTTTAAAAGCATTAGCCCTCTCCAAACTTATTTATAACACTGCTGTCCTCACTGTCACCCCCACATTTATTCAAAAAGTTAATAAAGCTATTACTCAATTCGTCTGGCAAAAGAAAAAACCAAAAATAAAACAAACTACCCTGATTGGCCCTAAAGAAAAAGGTGGTCTCACATTGCCTGATTTTGACATAATCAACAATGCTCTCAAAGCAACTTGGATCAGAAGACTAGACAGCTGTCATCCCACCGCGAGTTGGACTCACATTCCTGTTTCCCTGCTAGAGCGAGTTGGTGGTCTCTTTCTCCTTAAATGTAACTTTGAACTTAAACATCTTAACATACACATTCCATTGATCTTTTACGAGAAAGCCTTGTTGGCCTGGCAATCTATAAATTCGTTCACTCCCTCCTCAAAAGAAGAAATACTGAATGAAATCTTATGGAACAACCGCTTTATTAGGATCAACGATTATTCAGTATACTATAAAGCATGGCATGTAGCGGGTGTTGAAAAAATTGGAGATCTCTTCAACGGCAATACCTTTCTATCTCATCAAGACTTCTGCTCTTATTTTGGCCTTAAAACTAATTTTCTTACCTACTACGGTTTATGCAAAGCAATTCCTCCTAACTGGATTAAAAAATAATGAAAGGTAAATTACAACCGCCTTCGAATAAATCCACAAGTATGGATAGAATTTCCGTTGAGAAGCTTTCTTCTAAACTTGCTACAACTTTTTTGTTGAAAGGAAATTTGTTGCTGCCACCGCCAAAAAAAGACTCAGAAAAGCTAGTTTAAATGAACAGCAAATTTCTCAAATTTACAAGATGCCTTTCGGTGCTACGAAAGACATACAACTCTCAATGTTTCAGTTCAAGATCTTACACCACATCTTACCCACCAACGCTACATTATATAAATTCGGAATTAAAGAACATGACCGCTGTCATTTATGCGCTGAAAAGCAAACAATCACACACCTATTTGTGACTTGCCCCAATGTTCAGCTGTTTTGGACACTTTTCAGTTTGGTGGAGCGAAAAAAACAACATTGAGATCTCGCTTTCTGAAGCACAAACACTTTATGGCATTACAGACACCGTGCCTCAGTGTCTTGGTTTAAACCTCTGCTTGATAATTGCAAAATACTATATTTACACCGCGTCTAAAAACGAGGAAGATTATTTTTTCGATGCCTTTTTGTCTATCCTTAAAAATAAAATACAAATTGAAACTAGCAAAGCTAAGGTGCAAGTCAAGCTGTAAAAATAATTTTCCTGATTCTGGCTAATTTCCCTTGTTTTTTGGCTTTTTTGTTTGTTATTTATTTATTTATTTATTTATTTATTTATTTTTTGTCGTTTTTAGCGTATTTACTCTTCGTTAATAGATAGTAAGTTAGTAATTAGTTGTATTAGAATTCTTTTTTCATTATTTTGTAACAGGCTCCAACTCATCGGCTCCTTTTTTGTAAGCATTATCTTGTAAGTTAAGATTATGTAAGTAAGTAGTATTTAACTTAGCAAGTTATATGTAAGTAGGTATTAAAGCTTTATGTAACTAAGTAAGTACTATGTAAGTAAGTCAGCATTATGTTTGTAAAAACAATAAAAATTTAAAAAAAAAATAATAAAATAAAATAAAAGCAGAGAGAATTTGGAAAAGAAAACCTGGTGCTCAAAGGGTTAAGCTGGTGTGGAAACACAATCTATAAAATATGTTTTAATTTAATGCTGTACTACGACATTTCAACAATTTACAGTTGAAATGTGTTTACAGTTGTATGTCCCTTACTCCAAATAACAACAAAAATGTTAACTTTATATGCAAAAACCTTTGAAATTGAGCACAGTGGAATTTATAAAATAACTAAGATGGTACGCGCGCTCTGATTGGCCGAGAGGCGTGTTTGCATGAGAGTCTGTAAACATGGTTGTGACGTAAAGAATTTTGCGCTTTGCGGCGATATTTTTGTGTTTCAGGGATACTCTGGCATTCTCGGCTGTCAAATCTCTCTTACTTTTTAAACTGAAATTAAGAAATGAACGAAGATTTCCCAAATTTCAATTTGGGCTTAGATGAGTATTTGAAACCAAAACGGCAGAAGACTGAAGAAACAAGATTTGCGAACCTAAACAATGATGACTTGGGTGATCCCGTCGAGGGAGCCCAAGCGAAGTCCACTAAATATACCACCAACTATGCTGTGTCAGTTTTCAAAGGTAATTTCTCAGTAAAAATACTTATGTGAAACACAAATACTTTGTAATTAACACATAAGCTTATATTCACGCCCCTTGTTAAAATGTTACAAATAAAACTTTCTACTATGCATATGCAAAAACAATGTATCAATAAAAAAATAAGCCTTAATTTTTCTTAATAAAAATGAATACTCCTTCAACACCTACGTCGTGTTGATATTTTTTGGTCTTTCTTCATTCAGAATGGGCTTAGTATGTTATTCATTATTCATTTAACATTGGATAACCGAAATATCGCTAACCAGAATGTCTTTCTTTATGTTTTCTAACATTTTCTAAGTGGTGAGGCATGTACGAGCTTCCAAAGTGTGTCTACAGACACACTTTCCCAGGTGAAGCGTAGTCACTGCCTTAGCTCGTCCAGTGATTTGGGGGCTGGTTCTTTGTATGTTTTCTGGTCAACGATAATCCAGATGGTCTCCAAAGGGTTCACATCACGTGAGTTTGCTAGCCGGTCGCTCTTTGCTATAAAGTTTCCAAATCCCTCTGACACCATGTCTGCATGTTCGCCGCCTCTTTCTCTTCAAGGCTTTCCAACCCTTGCTGGTCATATATCTTCATACCGTTGTGCTCGAAACTTTGATATTGTGAAGTTGATTAAGTTTTTTTACCTCCCTGCCTTGCACACTTGATACACATATACTTACAGCTTTTTCGATAACATTTCTCACACATTTGAAAAAAGACGGCCATACACTCCTTGGTTTGTCTTCTTAAGTCTTTTACTTTCTATCACTTGTTTACTTATATCATTCAGACTTCAGTCAACAGTTTAAAGATTTCTTTGACTGAATGGCCAGAGAACCAAAAAAATAGATGCCTCAGCTTTAGCGCAAACAGTGTAGGCCTTCATTTTCGTGACAGAGTGCAGAAAATTGAAGAGAACGACAAAAAACGAAAATAGACAACCTACAAAGTGGGAAGGAAAAAACTCGCGTACGTGCACACTTGGGGCAAAACTTCAAAAACATTATAATTTCTTCAAATTTTAGTTTGAAATTACTTTTAACGGTTATTTAGATAAATTTTTCACCTGAATCAGTTTACATTTGCCCTAAAGAAGCATTAAATGCTTTGCGCAAAATACAATTTACAGTCGGAACGAACTTATGAAACACCCTGTAGCATGTTTACAGTAGGGTTACACTGTGGTACATTTATTTCCTGTCATAAGTGATCCTAAGAGGATGTCAAACTCATCATAAGATGGAACAACTGGCAATTTAAGCCGAAGTGAACAAGTGGAAGTAAAGAATCTTTGATCATTTGCAACTGACATTAAAATGCAATTAGGCTTCAGGGACGGTTATTAAACTTAAGACACATTTAAAAAAAAGGATATGAAACATTTCCCATACATTCTCCTCTTATTGTATTCCTTAGAAACACTTAGTCAATTCCATTATTCTGTAAAGCTCCCAATCCTAAAGCCTCGTGTTGAATTCTCTTTAGATGCAAATTCTTGGTTTCTGAAGACCAGATAAATATCTCCTTTATATCTTTGATATTGTAAGTGTTTGCCTAGTTTTACCTACTGTGAGCTTACGAGCTTTCCCGCATTCTTGCATCAGATTTATAAAGTTAGGATCTTCAGATATTTCATTAACACACTCTGGCACAGCCTCTTTGAACTAAAAAATTAATATCACTAATTGTTTTGCGAGAGGTCAGCCAATGGAGAGCTTGCAAGCAGGCTAATATTGCTTACTCTCCAAATATATATATATAGCCGGATTTATGAAAACGGTACCATCGGACTCCAGGAGCCGACACACCTTAAACTGACCCAACTAAAGTAAATATCACCAAGATTCGCAGCTATTACCCATGGTTCTCTTAAGGTGACTCTCTTCTTGGTTCCTGATTAGCAAAAGAAACATTTAAGTCCATCAAAAAGACACTCTGGACTTGTCCATACACTCTAGCTGCTTAAAAGCCCTAAATGACGGAGGATGCTTGAGACTTAATCAAGTTCTAAGCAGAGAATTCAAGGTTAAATCACCCCCCTGACTTCCTCCACCCCCCCCCCCCACCAAACCCTGCCCCCAGGGGGAACCCTTCATTGCCCCCCGGGCCCCCAACCTTCACAGAATTTGAACTGGCAAACTTAAAGCAACACATTCCCTTTGGAGGGGAGGTTCTTCCATTGAAACCATAGGTTGTTTTTTGGTGTTGTTACGTGTTTACTTATATGAACAAGTGTGCTTTGTCTGGT